GGGCAAAATATTGAATGATGCAGAAAGCATCAAAAGAAGATGGAAGGTGAAATGGACGAATTATTTTTTTTTATTGGTCGTTTATGAGCATAATATAATGTTTCCTGGTTGGGAAGTCTCCTGGTTCCTGCTAAATGTGCTGTAAAACAAGGACATTTACAATTTCTTTCAGATTACATAATCATAGGAATAATTTATTTTCAACTTTTATTCAAAATTCCAAGATATTTGTGGAAGTTAATACTTTCGCAACTTTAAATAGCTATTATTATTTTCTTCTTTGCTCTATTATTGATGTTGTTAAGTGCTGTCAAGTTGGCACTCAGAGACACTGTATAAAGTTTCCAAGGAGTGACTGGTGGGTTTAAACCACCAACCTTGCCTTTAGCAGTGCTTATCCTACAGCACCACACCGGAACTCATCTTTGTTAGCATACACTAAATTTAGATTGCGAGCATGCACAAAGTAAATCCCCTTACATGCTCCCATCATTCACGAAGTAGCTATGTTGTAGATATGGTACCTGTACCAGAGAAGCAGCACACTGAGTGACATGAATAAGGATTTATGGTAGGGATTAGACTTTATATGGAATCCCTGGGTAGCACACACTGCTACTGCTCAATTACTAGCTGAATTGTTGATGGTTTGAATCCACACAGAGACCCCTCGAAAGACAGGCTCAGTGATCTACTTTCAAAAGGTCATGACCTTGCAAAACCTTATAGACTATAGGTCCTCTCTGACACACCTGAAGTCTCCATGAGTTGGAATAAACTCGACAGCAACTAACAGCGGACTTTCTACAAGTTTGAGAGAGACTGAGAAAATAAAGGTCAAGAAAGAAACCACTCATGGATAAAAGCAAAGTCACTAGGACCACATGGAGAGTTGGGTAAAGAAAAGTTGTTGGCTTTACATCTGGAGGTGGGGTCCAAACTTTGCTATGGGTCATCAGGACAGTAATTGGGAAGAAGAGCTGTATGCAATGCAAGGAAAACATACTGGATTGGGTTATGTTCCTCCAAAATTCATGTCCTTTCTAGGGCCTCATGACCTTATTTAGAAATAGAATCTTTGCAAATGTAATTAGTTATGAGGTCATACCAGAGTAGAGTAGGACGTTTATCCAACATGACCACAGTCCTTATAAGCAGAGACACACAGGAAGAATGTCATGTGATGACGTAAGCAGAAATTGGAGTGATGCATATGGAAGCCAAAGAAACCACCAGCAGCTAAGAGAAAGATGGAACAGACTCTCCCTCAGAACTCTTCAGAAGGAAGCAACCTTAATTCCAGACTTCTAAGGCTCTCTTAAATCAAAAGTATTTAAACTCTATACATGAGGCTTTCTTGTTTCTCCTTGCAATGTGGCTTTTGTCAATTTCATCCAGTGCATCTGTCAGGATTGCATAAATCTGAACTAGTTGTAAAAGTGAATTGAGTTCAACGTCTTTCTCACAGAGCTTTCTGTCCTCATGCAGATTGGAATAAGAACCCTGGTAGCACAGTGGGTAATGAGGTAGGCTGCTAACCCCAAGGACCGCAGTTTAAATCTACCAGCTGCTCCATAGGAGAAAGATGAGGCTGTCTGCCCCCATAAAGATTTGCAGCTTTGGAAACCCTATACAGGGTCGATATGAGTCATAACTGATAACAGCACACAAACACTGCCACCCTAGTTCTACCTCCTAGTAAATAAATCCAGCTCAGCTCAGCAACAAGCAACATTCTCAGTACCTCTTACAACTCCTACAAATGTTCCTGCCCATATCTAAGAATTCCTCAAGGGAAAGAAGAATAGCAAGCTCAGGTTTGCCGGAAGTTCTCCCTTGGCACTGGGCTCCATGGGCAGTACATTCTCCCTACTTTCCAGGAACATTAACCATAAGTCTAGGAGTTAGGCAGATTCAATGGAGCTCTCCCCTGGAAATCACTGCTTACTCAACCATGTGTCTGTCAGATGAGGAGCCTTCTGTTAGATTTTCTCAGTAGTGGGGTCTGCTAAATTAATTACCTAACACATTCCATGGCATTGTGAAAAGTTACCAGGAATTAGAGAACAATATACATGTTTTGGTTTCAATACCAGGTCTTTTTAAGCCTCAAGGTAAAGAGTAACATTCACCTCATGGGAGTGTTACTATGAAATTTAAATGAGGTAATGTCTGTCACACTCCCACCCCACTGACTAGGCCATTACCTGTCTCTCTGCTTGATAAAGCAGCTTCTCCTTCTTGCTTTGGGCAAGAAAATTCTTGCAGGTCTGCCTCATACTACCGAGGGCCACTGATCCCTTCCACATGGGCTCTGCCTTGGAACTGCCCCACCATTGTCACTCCTAGTTAATGATGATCCAATTTATGGGCCCCTCTCAGGCTCCCTCTTCTCTCGCAGTCTGGTATTATGTTCCTCAGGATTAAAAAGGTTATTTGAATTGTATAACCTTTTTAATATATGTTACATAATTAAAATGTTTATTAACAAACATTATGCTTTTCCCTTCTTCCTATGTTTTATTTTATGTCACTCACAGTGAACAATTTGTTTTTTTATCTATTAATATATCTAAGGTAAAATTAAAATATTTGACTTCATTTTCCTACACTTTTTTCTTAAAGTTATTTTTATAATAAAAGGTAAGCATAATATAACACAGATCAATAAAATCTAAAGCTTATGTCTGCTGTATTTACCTTTAGGTTACTGAAAGATACGTATATGGAAGCTATTTCAACCATCAGCGGTGACTGCTAAGCACATTCAGATTTTTGCGCATGTAGAAACTACTAGTTGTTATTGGTAAGTGCCGTCAAGTGGGTTCCGACTAATTGAGACTCTGTATAGTGTTTCCAAGGAGTGGCTGTTGCGTTTGAACCACTGACCTTGGATTTCATTTTCCATCTCACTCCTCCATCTTGACCTTATCCCAAGACTTAGTAAATTCAGGCCCAGAAAGGGCATTGGTTCAATACAATCACACAATAAAAACTTTCAATGTTTATTTTTAAATGTTAAAGTTACTTCAGGCTGATCAAAAAAGATCAAATATGACTTCTTTAAATATGCAATTTTAGAAACTGGAAAAATTTGGCTTATCACTAGCATTTTGAAGTTGTAATAAGCATTTAATTAAGATGTTGACTGTTTCAAATATTGAATAAGATCTTCTCTCTCACTCTTCTTTTTAAGACCAGCGAAGACCATTTTAGTCCCAGGGATGTATTTCTTAGGATTCTCCAAATATTCATTCAGTGTTGCTTCTCCCCACACAATGCCTAAAATGGTGAAAATAAGTTTTAAGTTTCTTAAATAATTACGTTTGCAGGGATTACTGTTTTATAACACTAACATATATGAACAAAAGACTACTCTTGAACTCAGTAGCATACTTACATTTTCTGACACAAGAAAATTTGAAAATTAGTCTTAGTGCCATTAATTCTTGTCTTTCCTGTAGGAATCCAGTACTGATAGCTTGATTAGAATTATTGAAATCACACCATTAAACTATAACCCCCAAAAATATTGTGCCTAAGGAGTACCCCTCCTTCTGGGATCATAGAGAATTCCTCCTCGCTAGAAAACACCTAGGCGGTCATTTATCCCAACCTCTCATTTGAGACACATAGAAATCGATATAATAGGCATTAGTGAGCTGAAATGGACTGGAAGTGGGCATTTGAATCAAACAGTCACAAGGTATACTATACGGGGAATGACAATTTAAAAAGGAATAGCATTACATTCAGCATCAATAATAGTATTTCAAAGCCTATCTTGAAAAACAATGCTGTCAGTGATAAGGTATTATTTATTTGCTTACAAGAAGGATGAGTTAATTACTATTATTATAACTATTATTCAAATTTATGCACTAACCACCAATGCCAAAAATGGTGAAATTAAAGATTTTTACCGACTTCTTAAGTCTGAAATTGATCTGTGTGCATAATTACTGGTATTTGGAATGCCAAAAGTAGAAACTAAGGATCAGAAGTTCCAAAATATGGCCTTAGTGACAAAAACTGGGCTGGAGATCACATGATACAATTTTGTAAGACCAATGACTTATTCTTTGCAAATACCTTTATCAACTACATAAACAGGAACTACAGTGTGGCACTGTAGGATAAGCACTTGACCAGAAAGTCAGTTTGAACCACAAGGTCAGTGGTTCAAACTCAACCAGTCATTACTTGGAAACCCTATACAGGGTCACAATGCATTGGAATGAACTTGATGGCACTTAACAATAACAACAACAACCAATACACATCATACTGAAAGAAAGCAACAGGTCATTAAGAAGACAAGAAAGAAAAAAAAGACCAAAATGGATGTTAGAAGACACTCTGAAACTTGCTCTCCAGTATAGAATGTTAAAGCAAATGGAAGAAATGAGGAGGTAAAAGAGCTAAATAGAATGTTTCAAAGAGCAGCTTGAGAAGACAAAGTCAAATATTATAATAAAATGTGCAAAGACCTGGAGATAGAAAACCAAAAGCGAAGAACACGCACAGCATTTCTCAAATTGAGGGAACTAAAGAAAAAAATTCAAACCTCTGCTTGTAATATTGAAGGATTCTATATGCAAAATATTGAATGATGCAGAATGCCAAGAAATTTGGAAGACAACTATCTGGCCAACTGACTGGAAGAGATCCATATATGCACCCATTCCAGTGAGAGGTGACTCAGTGGAATGCGGAAATCATTGGACAATATCATTAATATTGCATACAACTAAAAGTTTGCTAAAAAGAATCCAAAAATGGCTGCAAACTTACACTGACAGAGAATTGCCAGAGGTTCAAGATGGATTCACAAGAGGATGTGGAACAAGAGATATCACTGCCTAAGTCAGATGGATCTTGGCTAAAAGCAGAGAATGCCAGAAAGATGTTTACCTGTGCTTTATTGAATATACAAAGGCTTTCGATTTTGTGGATCATGAAGAGCTATGGACAACATTGCGGAAGATGAGTATTCTGGGACACTCATGAAAAGCCTGTACAAAGACCAAACATTAGTTGTTTGAACAGAACAAGGGAACAATGAATGGTTTAAAATCAGGAAAGAAGTGCATCAAGGTTGCATTTTTTCACCCTATTTATTCAATCTGTATGCTAAGCACATAATCTGAGAAGCTGGATTATAAGAAGAAAAATGTGGCATCAGGATTGGAGGAAGACTAATTAACAACCTGTGATATACAAATGATACAACCTTGCTTGCTGAAAGTGAAGAAGACTTAAAACACTTACTGATGAAGATCAAAGACCATAGCCTTCAGTTTGGATTGCACCTCATTGTAAAGAAGACAAAATTCCTCACCACTGGACCAAAAACAACATCCATATAAATGGAGGAAAGGTTGAAGTTGTCAAAGACAACTTTGCTTGCATCAATCATCAGCATTTATGAAAGTAGCAGTCAAGAAATTAAGTGACATATTGCATTATGCAAATATATTATATGTATATTTTATATACATATATAAATCATATGTATTTATAAATTATGTATATTTATATTTGTATTTTTATATACATATATAAAAATATTTATACATACATGTATAATTTATTGTTATTTTGTTAGGCTGAATGTGAACATTTATTTATACAATGACCAGCCTATACAAGACATCTCTGTAGTATAGGGACTGTAGGTCCAAATAAGTTCCAGTATTTATCAGCAGCTCCACCTCCCAGGCCCTTCTGGGTGCTCCCTTGGCAGCCCATGGAATTTACATGGGCAGGTGGCACAGGTAGCATGGCAGGGACAGGCTCAGTCACAAGGCAGCTGACGGAAGCTCTTCTGCCTGGAAGGCTCAGAAGTTGGCCCAATGGCTGACCTGTCCCTTTCCTTCCAGGGAGGTTCTGTTTCCATTGCAGATAAGGCCACAAGGATGAAAGCAGGGCCAGATCTGGGTCCAAGGGAGCCTTAGGGTACATGAGAAGGCTAAGTGGCTTGGGAGATAAGGGAAAACTGGGAAGGGTCTATTTAGATCAAAATTGATGTTCTTGGTTGAACACTCCAAGAGGACAGCAGCGACCTGAAAGGAACATGGTGGTGGTGGCAGTGGTGGTGGTTGTGGTGGTGGTGGTGGTGTCAATCTCCTCAGGACCCACTCCTGGTCCTCCTGGCTGTATAGCCAGGTGGTGAGCCTCTAGTGGGAGGTCACCACCGGGGAATTTCCTCCTTAAACTAGGATGGACCATGAAGCCTGAGAGGGTAGGCCACCTTTTGGGAAGCTCTGAGAGCTCTGGGACCCTCAGCTTCTCGTAAGAGGTCTTCCCTGCAGGGTGAGTGCCTCCTAGGCAAAAAGATGAAGCTTTTTCAGGAAAAGATGAAACTGAGCTTAGCTGATCCCATTAGCATGCACTAGGGCCCCCAAACCAACTAGCTGGGCAGGAACGGGGCCCATAAGGTCTGGAAAGCAGAACAGGGCCAGACATTGGACCTGGGATGGAAAGAAGCTAGGGGCAGAGCCCCCAGGTGCTCCAAATTTTCCTGAGGCACAGGTTCAGCTGATGTAGACTCCATGGAAGTCATGGGCACCAAAGGCTATATGGCACTTGGGGTACTTCCTCTGCCGCGACTCATAGAGGCTCCTCACGCACTCGAAGCAGAAAACGTGGAAGCACTTGGTAAGCACTGCATCCTTCTTACTGATGTTACAGCAGGGGCAGGTCAACTGCGCTTTGTACTCCTTGATTTTCTCCTGGAGGATTTCATCAGCATCTGCATAAACCTCCACCTTCCTCTGTTTCTCCAACTTGCAACGCAGCCGTGAGATCTCCTCCAGAGCCCTCTTAAGGTTGAAGCTCTCTTTCTCGCGAGTAGCCCGGCTCTCTGCTAGGCATGGTTAGATCTCTCAGAGCCGTGTCTGCACATGCTCTAGTTGCACCTTCAGGACCTCGGCCAACTGAGCTGCTTCCACAGCCTTCCTCTTGTTGAGCTCCAGGGCCTGGCTCCACAAAGTCTGCTCCTTTTCCACACCGCCAAGGCTGCCCGGCAAGGCCCGCTCCTTTTCCTCCAACTTCTGCGCGGTCAACAGATGCGCATCCACCTGGGACTTGAGGCCAAGAACCTGCTCACGCAGCTCATCCTTCTCCCGTAGGCGCTTATGAATCTGGTTGGCCTTGATTCACTCAGACATCAGTGTAAAGTTGGTATCGTCCTTTTCCCGTACCTGCTGTAGCAGCCGCCCATTCTGCTCCTGCATGTCCTCAAAAGCCTGGCCTGTCACCTGCTTGTGGCACCCATCTTGCGCTGCAGGTGCGCAATCTGCTCTTCCATCTGCCGAATGCGCCACAGGGCGTCCTCGTCAGCATTCTTCTTGCTTTCTCTCTGATTCCTCTCCTCTAATTCCTGGATGCACCTGGCGTCTCAGCTAATTTACCTCAACCTTGGACTTGCGTTTTGCTGCCATCAGCTGCACCTTATCCCATTGCTCCCTGGGTGCTGACTTATACATAAAGTTGAAGAGCAAAGATGTCAGTTTGAGGACTAAGGTGCACCTGACACAGGTCATGGTATTTTCAATAACCTCATATGCATGAGCAAGTTGGACAGTGAATAAGGAAGTCTAGAAGAATTGATGCATTTGAGCTATGGTGATGGAAGAGAATATTAAAAATACCATGGACTGCCAAAAGAACAAACCAATCTATGTTGGAAGAAGAACAGCCAGAATTTCTCTTGGAAGCCAGGATGGCCATGTTTGGTAAAGTGGAGAAAAAAGAGGAAAACCCCAACAACATGGATTGACACAAGGCAGCAGCAATGGGCTCAAACGTAGTAACAATATCGTGAGGTTGGCACAGGACCCGGCAGTGTTTCATTCTATTGTGCATAGGGCCTCTATGAGTTGGTACCGAATCGAAGGCACCTTAGAACACCAACCACATACCTCATCAGATAAATACACATGAATGAAATCTATGTGGAAAGAGACAATGGAGAAGCTCAACATCATCAGTCATAACAAGGCAAGGTGCTAACGGCAAAACAGACAATAACTTGCTCATATGCAAGTTCAAATTGAAGCCATAGAAGATAAAAGTTCACAAGAGCCAAAGTCCAACTTTGAGCATATCCAACCTGAATTTAGAGAACATCTCAAGAATATATTTGACACATGGAACACTCATGATCAGATGTGAAATGACATTAAGGGCATCATACATGAAGAAAGCAAAAAGTCATTTAAACAATAAGGAAGGAATAAAAGAAATAAATGGATGTTAGGAAAGACTTAAACTTGCTC